AACATCTTCGATCAACGAGTTCTTTGACGCCAAGTGTACCCTCAATTAGGTGTCAAGGAGCTCGCCCGCGGTCCGCATCACTGTCATTGTGTATTAATTTTAGAATTGAATAGAAGCATTACTTTAAATAAAATGTTTTTCAAAGGGTTTATTCCACTTTGTTCACGTTCAGTCATATCATCTTTTTTTAAGGGGGGAAAAATCATCGAATGACTTGTCCCGCCTGAGTGAGGCGGGAGGGAGTGTCAGACTCTTACTTACTAACAACCACCCCGTTCCTACTCCTGCCCTTCGAGCCGAAGCCAAATCCTCCGCGGCTCCGTATTGGTATCAGCCCTATTGGGATCTGTGGTGGTACGCGACGCGCAATAACCTCAGGTCTGATTCTGGTCGGGCGGCGAGTCACCTATTCTCGCCGTCCGCAGGCCCGTGCCTACATAGAAAAACAAAGTTGACATTTTGGTCTCCTCAATTTACTTGGGTATTGTTTCACCCAGGTACATAAAGGCGACTTTTTACTTTTATGTCACCTATCTAAAATTAAGTTGAATAAAAATCTTCGAATTTAACATTCATTTTATTATATTAAAAAATCAGTTTAATGTACTATGAGTCACCATTAGTTTACCTAACTGCTTACGTTTAGGGAACAGTGTGTGATGGACAGAGATATTAATTTCGTATATTAACAAACAATAAAGTATACCGGACATATTTAATTAACATAACATCGCGAATTTTATTGTGCACATTACGGCACTTAATGCCACTGTAGAATGTAACACCCACTTTTCACAATTTATGCTATGAGTTCCATGTGACATATCACATGCCTATATTTTATAGCCTATATTTTAATTATGCCCGTGCTCGGTCAGCACTTGTGTGAACCTGAAAGAGATGCTCCTCTCCTTTCAGCCAGGCTTCGAAATAATATGCGTCCCATGTCCTATAGGGGGTGAGCCTATTGCCATATACCGGGCACAATTCCAGACTCCGTCCTACTACTGAGAATTTTATAAACACCCAGTAGTACTTTGCCCTACCCGGGAATCGAACCCGAGAGCCCGACCCCTTGCCCGGCAGTCGCACTTGCGTATTATGTATTTATTTGAACACAGCGTTACAAATAACAATTACACTACAGAATATATTTCAAGGAGATGTAAGTTTCATTTATCTCTTTTGCAAAACTTCAAGTATTTCGATAAAAATAATCTTCTTTCACTCGAAAAGACATCGCTCTCTGGCTTTGATCTGTCATATATGTTAGGTTTAGGTAGACGTTTTCCACGAACATGTTTTTATTTACAGGCCGGCGAACACAGGTCACTGGCTCGTAAGCAATCGAGCGTGATGTCCCAGAGGTATAAGATGCCTATTCTCCTGGGTTCGTATCCTACAAACGTCAAATACCAAATGTGACTTATTTCAAAAATCATATCATAATGAGGAAATAGGGTTTAAAATTTCTTAAAACAGGTTTGTAAGTGAACCCAATCGGCTTTTCTGCATTAGAATTGTAAGTTATTATCGGTAGCTTATATTTAGAAGTGGACGTCTTGTCGCTGATGAGATGAGAGTCGGGGCTAGTTCATTTACGTGCCCCGTCATTGCAAAATGTAACACTGAGATATTTACAAGGCAATCACATCCATTGATCCTACTGTTCATATTGAACTTGAAATCTAAAAAATGTGTATGTGTAACTTATTGGATAAATGAGCAGATTTACGTAAACGTAAAGGACTGTGAAAAGCTGCAAAGTGATATAGACCGAGTAGTTGCTTGGAGTCAATGTAATCTCCTGCATTTTAACACGTCTAAGTGTGTGACCATAAGTTTCTCACGCGCACACTCACCCGTCACACATACTTATACGGTGGATGGGGTACCGCTGAATAGGGTCATGGAGATCAAAGACTTAGGAGTTCGTTTTACCTCTGGGCTCACGTTTCGTAATCATATAGTCGAGGTATGCAAGAAAGCATATCGAAATCTAGGATTTGTACTTAGAATGGTTAGAGGCTTCACAAATATGAGAGCTATAACGACACTATATAATGCTTTAGTAAGAAGCCAGCTTGAATGCAATGCAGTGATCTGGGCTCCACATGAAACTAAGTACAGTCTCATGCTTGAACGAGTACAGAATAAATTCATGAGATATAAGTATATGAGAGAGTTCGGGGTATATCCATTCTACCCATTAATGTATCCAACTCTGTTTGTCTTGGGTATGGTTGGATATAATGAACTACAGGTCAGGAGGCAACTCGCATTGGTGACTTATATCTTTAAAATAATTAGGGGGAAGATACACAATCCGGATATATTGCAAAGGGTTGAACTGGTCGTGCCCGATGGATACGTGAGTCGTCGTCGCCAGCCGCGGTTACTGGCAGAACCACGTTCGCGAACTAACTTGCTGCGGGAGGCACCGCTCACGTGTGCGCTTCGCACTCTGAACCTCATTGCTAATGACGTAGACATATTCTGTTGCTCTTTAGGAGAATTTACACGAGCAGCCATGCATAGGATTTGCTATATGTAGTAAAAGCTTATTATATATTCTTTATCGTATTATATTTCTATAGAGTATATGGATATTTCTTGTTTGTATTTTGTTTATTATTGTTATTTTAATATTTGCTGCAATATCGCATTGGGTCTAGCCTGTAAGGATATTTGTATGTTATGTGTGTAAATAAATAAATAAATAAATAAATAAAAATTTTGATGATGCCTGATGGTAAGCAATCGCCGTTGCCCATAGACACCTGGAACACCAAAAGCATTTTGTAACCCTTCTGGTGGTGGTGCTGGTGGGCTTTTATCCCCAAAATTGGGAGGATGGTTGGGTTCAGGGATTGGGAGGTTGGGGAAAGGGGAGGGGTAATTGGGCCTCCAGTAACCCACTCGCATGACGAAACACAGTGCAAGCGTTGTTTTATGTCGGTTTTCTGTAAGGCGGTGGTATCAATCGAGCCGGGCCATTCGTCTATCGAAGCATGGTTCTCCCACACTTCAACTTACAATCGTATTCTTCACAGATTTATAAATCATATCATTTGTGTAATATGACTTACAATGTATTACCAACAAGCCCATAGCGAAACACCGAACTATGTTGTATATCACTATTGTTCCAGTAAAAAAGTAATTGTAACATGCAGGTGGGCTCGATTGACTCACGGACGGATTTTGATTAAATTGTTGACCCGAATAAAAACATTCATAAATATAATAGAAAACCATTTCTTGTGAAAATACGGTTTGATATTACATACCTAGTTTTCGAACTTTATCACCGAACAATAAACGATTGTTTATATAAAACAATCAAATCTATGGGCGTTTATAATACCAACATATAATACAGGATCGCTATTTGTATGTGTGTATATGTTTACCGGAAACATATGGAATCTAGGAATTGTTTATAAATCCTAGAAAATGTATGTAATTTTGGAACAAATGTGGGAGAGTGTGGGAGAGCCATGCTTCGGCACGAATGGCCCGACTCGACCGGAGTGCTACCACGGCCTCGCAGAAAACCGACGTGAAGCAATGCTTGCGCTTTTTCGTCGTGTGAGTGAGATTACCGGAGGCCCAATTACCCTCCCCTTCCCCAATCTCCCTAATTCCTAAATCCCCAACGACCCTCAAACTCCTAATCCCCAAAAGGCCGGTAACGTACCTGTAACGCCTCAGGTGTTCCAGGTGTCCATGGGCGACGTCGATTGCTTACCATCAGGTGATCCGTCTGTCGGTTTACCGGCTTATGCCATAAAGAAAAAAATTAGGAAATGTATAAAATATTCTTTTAAAAATGATTTAATACCATGATATGGTAAAGGAAATGTACATGTTGCGTAAGAAAATATATCTCGCGTGAGGGAACGAACCTTTTCACGCCCCAGCTGTCGCAAGAGACACTCCAGGCGTCGGAGATCGCGCGACGATCTCCAGCCACCGTAAATGCGAGTCTGCGGACGGCGAGCAAGGGTAGCTCGCGGTCTGACCTGAACCAGACCCGTGCGTACGGCGTGTCGCGTTCCGCGCGCTTTTTAAAGAACCATCAAACCACCACAGATCCCCATCTGTGGTGGTCTGATGGCTCTTTGAAAAGTCCAGTAAGGCTGATGCCCGAAAAAAGGAAAACATATTTACCAATCCCATGGTTTAGTAATTGCGTGATAATAATTGCATCTACTACTTAGATACAGATTGATACTGAAGCCCTTGTATAAAATAGTTTGAATTTATCGGGAAAAATAAATGCTGTGCACATTCACGCCTGGTTATCCATAGAAACAGGCTTGTAACCTCTTTTGTCGAATGCAGAAGTTTCTGGAAAAAAGTAAATGAATAGAAAGAAAATATTATTTTGGAAAATATTATACTAAATTGGTCTTGAAACACAAGAAATTGTCGACAAACTTTGTGTTCTTTGTCGACAAAATTTTACGTTCAACGCTCAGCTTAATAATCGAAAATTTAATCACTAATGCTGGGACCGAACCGAGATAATTAATTTTATGTTTCAACCTAGTCTTGATTATTTTATGAAACATTCGCGTCCCGTGCCGCGCGCGCCTCAAGGAGCCATCAGACCACAACAGATGGGGCCCAAAAGGGCTGATGCCGATACGGAGGCGCGGAAGACTTAACGGGTCGCCGTGGCTCTGGCTAGTAACGTACGAGTAGGAACAGGGTGGTTTTTAGTCAGTATGATTCTGTCACTCCCTCTCGCCTCACCCAGGCGGGAGAAGTCATTGGATGATTTTCCCCCTCAAAAAAAGCTGATATAGATTTAATAAGTAGTTAATAATATACACAGTAATAAAACAAAATATAACGAGTAACGCCTGGTTCATTTCTAGTTCATAGAAACATTAAAAACCTTTTATAAGCTATGTATTAAACATTAAAAAAAACACAAGTAATATTTTCTATTTCATATATTTTTACAAACATAGGCACTAGTATGTTTCAAAGAACATCAATATTGTGTTTAATAATGCTTGGTACAGTACGTATGTCCGGACCAGACGGCATTTCGTTGAGGGTGATCCATGGAAATAGCGTTAAAGAAGACGAGTTCCCATATGTTGTTGTTCTGATTGCGAAGAATGTATGGTCTTTGTCGCGCATATGTACGGGAAGCATGCTCACGGCGGATTGGGGTCTCTCAGCCGGGCACTGCAAGCCAATTATTACCACAGAGTACACGAGTATCTACGCGTGGTACGGCAACTTTACCCAATGGCCTTTTCATAGTAACAAATGTATACCAGTGGTCGAATGGAAGGTGCATCCAGCTTATCGTCTGTTAAACACAGATGACCATCCAGACCTATTAGTTGACAACGATATAAGCTTGTTCCGCATTGAGGCAAGTCTCAAATTGACTAGATACGCACGGCTCTCAGCCGTAGACCGAGGCAGCTTGCTGGGGCTGCCAGTCATCTACATCGGCGGTGGCTCTACAAAGGGAAAAAATTACTATGAACCAATGGAAAGACCATTGAAGAAAGGTGAAGGTGCCATAATTTCATGCAGCGTCGATATAAGAATGAAATCCAGACATGTTGTGTGTATAAATCCAAAATGTGATCTAAAAATCCAATACCCTTGGTATGGTGACTCTGGCGGACCTTTGATACATGGTGAACAGATTATTGGAGTATGTTCTTATGTAGTCGATGTGGGCGACGTTCATCAAAGTGTTTTCGTTTCTACCAGTCCATTTATAGATTGGATTTCTTTTGTAATACATTCCAAGACATAGAGAAAGTTGAAAGATGAGTGCGTGATCTGCCTTTACACATTCATCACCCTCAAGCAGTCGGGACGACCATGGTGTATTTTGCTGCCTTGGATATTTCTAGGCATGTTGCCTGGCGTCTCTGGTGACATATACTAGGGTAATGTGGCTCTTATACCGAAGTATACTAACCAAAGAGTGCCATAACATTGGTTTATAAGACGTTTTTCCGACTATAAGAAAAGTGGCATACACCCGAATACTGATAGGCTACTAAATTTTAAGTTGCATTTGAATGTCGTGCCAGCTGCCAGCTCTGTTATTTTACAAATAATTTGTATTGACAGAACTATACTAACTAACTTACCTAAGCGCGACTTAAAATTGAGTAGCGTTTCAATATTTGGGCTATAGTATAACAAATTGAAAGAACAAGTTATGTCTTAAAACGATATTAAACCATAACTGCATTATACAAAAATAGGTCTGTAACTCTTTATATATATTTAAAATTATTATTACTTACAACCACGGAGGTTATAAACTGAAAGAGAAAAAAATAAAAAAAATAAATTCATATCTTACTTATCTTCTGCTCCTTCATCATAAAATGTGCCTAACAGTAAAAATATGTAGGTACCTCGTTATTGAAACTATACAATACAGTAACGTACAAAATAGGTTACAATGAAAAATTATTACAAAAAGTAAAAAATTGTAAATGTCAAATAAAATAGGCCTATTAATTTAAATGGATTTTTTTGGTCATTAAATAACTGTTTATGCTTATTATGAATGTAGAATATAAAATGTTGTTTCAGTCTCCTATAATTTGGTACTTTTTTCACATAGACATACCAACGATTATAATTAGTAAAATCTTGGCGGTCTCGCAGTCTTGTGTATTGGTGTTGTCTTATTTTCAAATCCTAAAATGCGGAGTATGCTACGGGCCGAGACAGGAACTATTGTAGATTCAGAAACTTTTTTTTTCTTCGGTACGTAAGTTTTCTTTTTCATTACGTCGGTAATCCAGTGTATGAAGGGACTTACTGGGGTGAAAACGCCAATCGTTACATTCTTTACGAGTGCAAATGAACATACTCCGACAATTTTCCCTTCAAATATCACAGGTCCTCCCGAGTCTCCGAAACATATGCGAACACCGTTCTGTATGAGTCGGGGCATGACACACAAGGAATGTTGTAACGTTTTCGTCAACTCCGTGTCACAATCAGTAATCGTGCCAATGAAACGCAGCATCCTCATCGTATGGTCACCGTGATGATTTGTTCTCTTCCCACTTATAGCATTTACTTGAAAGTCCTTCATGGTCTTGTAATCGACATACGATAAGCTCGCATAGGTCCTCAGGGCAATAGACTTCACGAGTAATAAGGCTATGTCGTAATCCAGAGAAAATACTCTAGACTGATATATCGGATGTATAATGATTTTCAACACTTTGGTAAACGTGTTAGTTACGAAAGGGGATGAGCTGTAGTATCCGTACCAAACGTACAATTCATCAAGAGATCTCTTGTGCACGCAATGTGCCGCTGTCAGCACCCACTGGTCCCTTATCATGGACCCCGTGCAGAATCCGAAAGCATCTTTTTGATTGCTCTCGTCATTGAATACTTCTATAAGAGCGACCACGTACGTGTATTCACCTTGTTTTACATTTTGCCCGCCGTAGTTCGAGGGCAATAATTCTGCCGAGTTCGTTTCATCTGTTTTCGTCACATAATAAATTAATATCACCAGCAATGTCAAACACATCTTCACTACGCGAGATATCAAGTATAAGTTTCGAAATAAAAATGTTTTAAAATTGAGTTGATGTTTTATTGAAACAGCTCTTGTTCCAAGTACGACACTTTATCGAGAAAACGATAACATTCACAGGAACTAAATGTGAAATATTATTTAAACTTTCTTAGCAACTGTTTAAATGTCTGTTTACTGGATCTGCTCTGTGCAGCCCCGTCCTCTACGACCGACGCCACCGTTAACAATGAGCAATCGTTGTCATTCTGGTATACGAGTATGACTTATCACTGCTCTGTAGTTTTAACTATGTGTTCGGTTGTGACGAGTTTCGATGAGACACAAGGTTATTGTGTTAAACATAGATTATTCACCTGTTGATAAGTAAAGTCCGCGGTCTGTACCTTCCTCTACCCTTCAGGTTGGGCTTCTTTATATACCTATAGGTGTGTTGATCCTGTCCTGATATCTAACCGCACAGGATCAACACTTTTATGCAAGATGGGGTGATGATATTCAAAGTTCAAGTATTTATTGCATCCATACAATGTTTATTACCGATTATAGACCCCGTCAGGCACAGCAAAATGTAAAATAGTAGGGAAAATATTATGTCAAGGAAATATCTGCCTTATTTTCGTAGAATGAAAGATTTTTTTAGATTTGTGTAAATTTTATGACTGTAAAATGTAAACATATAGATTAAACTAAGCATTTGCCTTATTTAGGCATTACACTTAAATCTGCACACAGCCATGGTACACTGATTGTGTTTATCATTTTGTTTAATTTTTCTTTTTGTATTCAATAGTATAGTGCTCGTATTGACAGATAGTATAATGTTGAGTGTGTCGACAATAGAAAATATTTGTAGACAATATGAATTCTCGGTAAGTCTATTATGTATTATCTTTATTTGTTTTGTAGTGTGTTTGAGTATAGGTAAGACTTTTATTGTTAGGGAGATGATTTGTTAGTGAGTCATTATAAAAGATTGAATTGTGTCCGAAAATAGAATAAAATTAACGATTTATCTTGAGCCTAGTTTAAGATATATCTAAGTAGCTATTGAAACTGAGAATTACTTGCATTGCACCTTGTGTATTGTAGAGGTACAATGCACAAAATTGTGCACATCAAGCCTTCCTCATGAGAAGTGGGTTTCCACCTTTTCTTTCGGGTACTAATGGCCTTTTATTTATAGTATACTTTCTCATACAAAGCATATTTTTTAGGTATCGCTATCAGCAAAGGTTACAGGATGCTGGATGCAGGTGGCTTCCAACTAACCGACTTGGAAGTCATTGAGAGGTGGTTCATTAGCAGTGGTAGTCCCGTGACTAATAATAATGTGATGGGAATTAGGAATTTGTGTAAGTAAATACGTTATGGGGGGTGGGGGGATCATCCAATAGCTTCTTGCGTCTCGGATGAGATGTGAGGGAATGTCAGACTGTTACTCATACTAAAACTGAAACTACCTCCTTCCTACTTCAATACAGCTCACACATAGACTTCCCCTGTGGGGCAGTCTCTTTGAACCTATGACTGCACTGTTGGTGCGACTGTGCAACCGGTTCGATTCCGACCGAAAAAACTCTTTTTGTGATCCACAGATTGTTGTTCCGGGTCTGGGTGATTTGTGTATGTGAAATTGAAATTTAAAATTGTAATGTACAACGTATTATCAAATAGAAAAAGGAGAGGAGTCTTCTGTCTCCGGCATTAAATTCGTCGAGTGTAGTGTACAAACTATTTTTTTGATTTTCTCCTTTTCTAATAATATATTTTAGTTTATTTCATTGCGGGGTCCAACACTACAACACACACAATTATGTTCTTACTGGACGCACCAGACTTCAATATTTCGGTGTTTTCAAGGTTGTATCATTTTATAAATAAATAAATGCTGAAGAGAGATGCACAGATTGTGGTGAGCTTGTCCCAATAAAAAAAGTATAAATATTAACGTAAATATATATTAATTTTTACTAAAAGGATAAAAAGTAGCCTATGTGACATATACCCATACACACAGCGCCATCTATACCAATAATTTCGTTTTTTCCCTCGAGAATATCAATTTTTTCCGGGATAAAAAGTACTGCAAAAATTCAAAGTAATTCGTAGTTACGGCGTGAAAGCGGAACAAACAAACAAACTCACTTTCCCATTTATAATATTAGTAAGGATTAGTAGATTAAAGCCAAATATAGCTCAGACAAGAACAGGGAGACACTGATACAGTCAAGTGTACGGGAGAAGTCCAATAGCACGAGGACTGTGCACATACCCTGGTCCCGACCAAACAAAATACCGTCCGTTACGTCAAGCAAGGTGGTAGCAGTACTACGATGCTTCCTGAAGCCGGTCTGCAGAGCAGGGGGTAAACTTCGAGGAAATCCGTCATTTGCTTACAGGCCACTCTTTCCATAACCTTTGACAGACGGGAATGATGATAGGTCATAAATCCTTTAGAATAGTTGGGTTAAAAATCTTAGGTAACAGTCGAACAGTTGCTACCTTCCATATATTAGGAAACGCACGCAACAAACGCATTGACTGCACGGTTGATGCGGTGACTGGGCAACCGGCTGCTGTGCTACGTGTCGCGGGTTCGATTCCCGCACAGAACAAATCTTCGTGTGATCCACAGATTGCTGTTTCGGGTCTGGGTGTCATTATGTGAACTTGTATGTTTGTAAGCGCACCCACAATTAACGAGAAAATCCTAATGTGGAGCAACGATTTTTTTTAAAAAAGGAGGATATTAGGAAATGTCGAAGTTTGAATAAATTGATGTGTTTACAATATCAGTAAGATTTTTTTTTTCTTTGTTTTTTTTTCTTTTCTTTATTCTTTTAAGTTTGTTATTACTATTATGTATTGTATGAATATCTGTATCTTTATTTTTTCTTTGTAGATGTGTGGCTACTTGTGAAGTAAATACTTTTTCTTAAACGAGCACCTGATGGTAAGCAATCGGCGTCGCCCATGGACACCTGGAACACCGTTACAAGTGGGTTACCGGATTTTTGGGGATTAGGAGTTTGAGGATCGTTGGGGATTTAGGGATTGGGGAGATTAGGGAAGGGTAGGGTAATTGGGCCTCCGGTAACCTCACTCACACGACGAAATACAACGCAAGCGTTGCTTCACGTCGGTTTTCTGTGACGCCGTGGTATCACTCCGGTCGAGCCCATTCGTGCCATAGCATGGCTCTCCCACACTTAAAACTTTCTTTCTTACGCCAAATTAAGCAAGTTTAAATTTTTGGCAGCATCAGATTTTAAATTAAGAACGATGTTTGAAACAACATCCCGCCCCGCCAGCAACAATGAAAAAAAAGCGTCGATATTCTTATAAAATTCGTAGAATTTCAAGGTCGAGATATCACTCTTAGGGTTACCGGGTACATCGAGAAAGTGGTAGTTAATTTCGTGAGGGTCATTGAAATAAAACGGTGAGTCTTATTACAGATTTAGAGGTAGAATCATTATGTTGATTGTTAATATTATATTTAAAATAGGCAGCCTTTTCGTGGTCGAAGGAGGTTGTAACAAGGGACTTTAATAACAATTTATTCTTTATACTTCGACCTTGTTTTCAGATAGCTAGCTAGCGCTTAGTCCCGCATACGCATGGATATTTATATTGCCAGTTACCCAAGGGTATGATGCTTCCTTAATAGTACATAACTTAATCGGTGCGAGGACATCAACACCGCAGTAATATTTGCACACAATGCGATAACTTTGTCATTTACTGTGTTTTTGAATTAGTGATGTAATACTGCTGATGGCACGGGTGGCGCGGTGGTTGCGTAACCAGCTACCATGCAACATGTCCAGGTTCGATTCCCGCAAGGAGGAACTCTTCGTGTAGTTTACTAATTGTTGTTGTTTTGTATATGTGTGTCATGCGTATGTGAACTTGTATGCTTGTTCTAACACTTGTTCTACGCACCCACGACACGGGAGAAAACCATAATTAAAAACATGCACGTAAATAGTAAAAGTAATAAAAAAGAACCGCAACATATCTTTTTCTATATAAGTAATAGTAATTAGTTATTATAAGAGAACAATGTGCTAAACTATAAATAGTTTATAGTTACAGAATAAATCGTATATTCCGTAATTAGCATATAAGTTATCATCCCATAATTTTTTTTAAACAAAACTTCAACTGCTATCACATTCGCGTGTATCAGACATTGTCTTATACAACATTTCATACTTCAAGATAGTTAAAAAAATTAAAGCACTAGTACATCCTTGAGGGTTTATTTAATATAAATTGGCAAGAAGAACGCATGACTATACGCAACGCATATCAAAACGTCCTAAGCATTCAACAATGCAATCATCCGCAGTAAATCACAAAAACCTACCCCTCGAAGTCATAATGAAACGCTAAAGTACATAGAAACATCAATAGTCCTTGTAAATAGCAAAGGGTGGAACCGATATACATAAATAATTCATACAGTTGGCTATGCAGTTGTATTGATTTTCGAAATATCTAGAACACCAGCGGTGACCTGAACGGACATTGGTGGAAAATCGGCTGTCTTCATATTGCGGAACCATAATGCTATCTCACTTCAACTGTCCCGACTTCACTGCGATGCATCGCGTACAGTTAAGAGAAACGGTGATTTGAATTGCATTAAAATGAATTTCGTATGTATAGAGAAATTCATAGACGAACTAATCGGGATAACACGGTAATAATATTCTATATCAGATAATTTTGTGTCAACTCATAAAAATACAATGAAATACTCCTAAAGTGCACACATATACAAAACATCATAAATTCTATATACAAAAACATCAGAAATCTCATTTTTAGTAGTGACCATAAAAAAATATTTATTTATTTATTTCTTCTTCACGAAAAATTACAATGCATTGCGGACTTAATGCCTTAAGACATTCTCTAACAGTCAACCAAAGGGAAGTGCAGAAGAATGAAGCAATTGATGCGAAGCCAGAACACAATCTTAAAACAAAAATAATGTAGTTAATTACTTGAATAATTCAATAATATGTAAATTACGCACATTAGTATCAATAAAAAAGATAAACATTGTTTATGAAAATTTTAACTATCTAGCTATCACGGTTCATGAGATGCAGCTTGATGACAAACAAACATGATGACGGCTGCACGGTTAGCGCAGTGTCCGGGCTAGCGGCTGGGGCGTAACAAGTCACTGATTATGTGTTTCATAAATTTTTGTTCCGAATCTGAGTGTGAGCTTAGTTCAGCATCTAAACAATGCCCTAAAGGAAAACTTACATCTGGAAAGTGATGGTCAGTGTTTGGTGGTCTAGCGCCGGTGTGATTCATCACAGCTTCTTACCAAACGGGATGAGAATTACTGTCGATGTGTACTGCGAAGAATTCTTCATTCATAGTGTTCAACTAAACAGAAGCTGTCACATTTCTAATCAGCAGTGGTCAGCCGCTCGTCTTCGCGACAACGCCCGACCTCATACTGCACGGCAGACTGTCTCTTAGTTGCAAGAACTGGGTTGGGAAGCTCTGCGTCATCCGCCCTACTGACTAGACCTTACGACTACAGACTAATACTTTTTTTAGAATTTGGATGACTTCTTGGCGAAATAAATCAATACCAGAGAGGCAGTACACAATGACTTTGAAGAATTTGTCGCCTCTTGTCTAGCTGATTTCTTTTAGAAGGGCATCAATCAACTGCCACTGCGTTAGAAAATATGCATTAATTGCATGGGTAAATACTTCGAATAAAACAAATAAAAAACACATGCGTAACTTGTTTAATTTTTTTCATACAAAACGGCAATTTCATGGCAAAGACCTACATAATATTGTGTGAATAACGAATGACTATTGGTTGTTTGAAAACATATCCGCTTCACGAGTCACGTCTCCAGTTGAGTGACGTATCTTTGATCGGAGAAAAATCACAATTTGAAAATATAAATTTCCTGCGTATGCTTATAGACGACAAATCTACCCTCTACTGCTTATTGTATTAGGAAGACAGACGTCCCAACCATTTGGATATAGTAAGATTTGTGTACTTTAAATTTCATAGCATTATGTCGAATAATGTTTCTATCGGGGGTATATTGCTGACCTTGAATCTGGCTTTATTACAGAAACGTACAACCATCTGCAACTAAAAAAATTGATAATCGCTAAAGCCCTTTTCACACGCTCCGTTTCCAGCATCATGTGCATCATACACTTTAATTATTACTTTAATTATAATTTTTATATTGTAAAAAACTGCTATGCAGATTGCTCTGTGATATTTTGATAAAATTAATAGTATGTTTTTGTGTAATTCTAGAGCTTTTCACCCTCATTCAAAGGTCTCATTGGCGGTGGCTCCGACAGTTGATGATACGATTGTAATTGTTGCAATATGATTGAATTAAACGATGCCATTTCGTGTGTTTCAACTTCGTGAACGCGCGCCGTTAACAAGTATTGATATCATCATCAACAGCCTATAAATTCCCATTGCTGAGCAAAGCCTCTTCCCACACGAGAAGGTTTGAGCATTAATCACCACGCTTGCGCAATGCGGGTTGGCGATTACAAACTCATAATTAGAAATTATAAGTGCAGATTTCGTCACGATGTTTTCCTTCACCTTTTGTCAGTGTCTAGATAATCTTGGAAAGTACGTATAATTCGGAAAGAATCACATCGTTACTTGTCGTTGGTAGGTTTCGAACCCGCGCCCTCATGCATGAGAAGCGGGCGTCTTAAACCTCCGGGCCACCCCGACAAGTATTGGTAAGCTAGACAATAAAAATTGTAGGTACTTAAAATTTTCCTCTTTTCCTGTAAATATTGATGTTTAGTTAATAATATCGCACTTAATTAATAAAAAAATGTTTATGAAATTGAAAACGAATACCTATTTATTTCTTAATCAATATTTCCGCATAGGTAAACTTTCTTTTTTTAACTTCAATTAGGCCATTTTTTTTAACTCAATGTTTTCTTTCCAAATTGTGCTTTTAATATATTGGAAGACTTAGAAACCAACTGTAACTTTGACGTACATTTGTAATCAATTTGGTTAGTTTTTTGCGATGAAAATAAAATAACATAACATATCGTCTGAAATATCACGCGATATGTTTAAATATAAATATTCGATTATATTATAACTGATAACTGCATGAAAATTATATTCTTATTGTTTTTACTTTGATCGCAAATAAAATAATAAACTGATTTGAAATTGAATACGAGACATCAATGAGCGCGCCTGTACGTTTATCGACCTGCGCGTCGGGCTGGCGTCCGGCAGTTACTTTTGGTGAGTGCGAGCGTTTAGTTCTGGCAACTGTTATCCAAACCAAAAGGTACTTTTTGATTGACAATGGAACCACCTCCTGAAGCAGAAGAACCCCCACTGCAATGCACAACTACAGCATCGGTGACACCAAAGATTGAAGAACCTCAAGTTACCTCTGAAAACCCACAAGGTGGGGACCTTGTGGAGATACAAGGGGTTGAAGATCCCCAAGATTCCCTTGAAGACCCAGTGAAGACTGCAAACGTGGTTTGCTTAGATAACTCCCAGGAACCCTCTGTAGAAAGTTTAAGTGAAAGCCACCAGCAGCCATCTGATGATAAGCCCACTGCAGATGATTCAAGCAGTGCACAAAACCCACAACAACCCCCTGAAGAACCGGAGACCGCGAGCGTTGCAGAAGCTACCGATAATTTGCAACGACCTCCAGATATTGTTGGTGTTACTATGAAGATTGAAAACCCAATAATTGACACGGATAACTCAACAAGCCAACCTGAAGATAATGTGGCTAATAATTCTTTGGAAAAAGAAGAAACGTCTAAACCCCCTGACGTAGTGATGTCTACTAATGAAACGAAACAACCCACGGAATCAAAAAGTGAAATAGAAACACCAAAGATAGAAACGACAGCAAACGAACAGGATTTATCTGAAACTACAGAACAGAAGCCCGAAAAGAACCCGGAAAATATTGCGGACGTCCAAGTGGCGTCGAGATCGAACATCCAACCAGAAGTATGTGCAGCCACTGCATCAAAAAGAAAAAAGAAACGGTCAAAGGACCAAAGACCAACTAGCACAAGAAAGAAGGAACCATCGACGCGGGCGAAAATTGCCAGTATCATTAAAGCCTGGAAGAAAGGACAGAGAAGGCGCCGAGCCAGGGAACGCATGACTAGGAGTTTAGGTGAGTTTACTGAAGCACAGTCGATTACGCGTAGATAAGTCTGTTGTACTAGTTACACATTAAATTATGAAGCTTAGCTCATACTGCATAGACATATTTGACTAATAAAATATTATGCGACTGAAATATGACCTTAAATATAATTTAATTGTAAACGGCATAAGCGAAATTCTACTGCATTAATATTCATAACGGCTTTAAAATAAAAACCATTTACAACGATATCAATTCCAATAAAATTCTAAAGCTATTTTATCAGAGCGTTCAGAGTGGTTCTTGAACATTGTGGAGCTTAGTTGAACATGTCAATAAGACTATACCTAACTCGGTCTGAGTTGAATGAACTTTGGCCAGACTGTTCGATATTAAAAGGCTTCACTTATATAGGTCGTTATAACTATATTGTCATAGATTACGTATATTATGGCCTTCTTTTTAGTTCGATATAGACGTAACAGTTCAATAAATATATAAATATTATAATGACTTTCAAATCTAATCACATTGTAATGTATGAAGAAATATGATGTTGACATAAAACATATATTTATGTTAAACTAGCTACTTCCGCGCAGTTTCACACGCTCTGCTCAGCTCCTATTGGTCGTAGCGTGATGTTTTATAGCCTATAGCTATCCTCGATAAATGCGCTACCCAACACAAAAAGAATTATTCAAATCAGACTTGTAGTTACGGAGATTAGCGCGTTCAAACAAACAAACAAAAAAACAAACTCTTCCGCTTTATATAATAGTATAAGATATAAGATTATCTTTTCTATTTTTATGACAATTGTAGGTATTATCATGATCTTTAGCCGATTATACTCTGTGCTCAGCTTAATTAGAGTCACTTGAAACTAATATATCCCCCAAAAAGAAGTACAATACCACAACTTACCGAACTTGAAACCTGTCAATGTCTACTGGTTGCCAGCGACTCAGTTTCTTAGTGACCACAACATGCTAATTCGGCCAGGAGGCCAGGCCGAGCGACATCCTTTATGTATGTACATTCTTCCATACGCTTCCCGTTACGACAGTTGAAGCCTTGCTTCTATTGCGCGTTGCAATAGGCGGCGCAACCGCAACTATTTTTTTTAAATACGTTTCTCAACTCTAGGATTTACTTCTGTGTTGACAAGTCAAACGCACCCAGTGTAAAAACATACAATTTGACATACACGTGACATCCCGACCAGAAACAACATTTTGTAAATCACACAAAGAGTTGGTCTGTATGAGAATCGGACCCGCTGCTCGCTGTGTACGGAATTAAGAGGTGCTGGAAAAATAACTGATATATATGTCTGTATAATTAAAATTGGTATTAACAACACGGGTGTAGTACAGCTAGTGAGGCTAAGACGTGTCACATTTATGTAAAATATCCATTAACAGCTCTGGGATCATATGTTATTGCTACGGCGAATATGTTAGGCGTTCCAACATATCGTGCCTAGGCTAAGCGGTAACCATGCTGTCTTAGTTAAATTACTATTATTTTATAAACACAGTTGCCAGCGACCAGTACATAGTGCGTAAATATCTCATAATACGTGTATAGATAGGTTTTGCATGATTTGGTATTATTTTTCAGTCCGAAAAATGTTGGGGCCCGGCTTTTGGCGAGACGTGACCGCATCGGATCTGACAGAGGCGAGTGCGTCTGCGGTGCGACATGCAGCACCAACATCTACGATAACTAGACCTTATCCTTCTCCTCCTCCACCTCCTCCTCCTCCAGAAGAGCATTACTATGCAATGATGCGTCCAAGATCACCTATTTATCAGCCATACGATTATTCACAAGCCCATTGTAGTAGAACAATGCCACCGTATGCTACACCCATATCAAATGAACCACTCTGTTTAAAAGCTTCAACATCGACAAGCATGGACAGACCTAGCACCTCATCTGCATTTACTGCTCTAAGACCAGGCTCTGTGAGCGAGGTGATAGTTTTAGATGATGACTCATCGGATTCAGAAAAATATACGCCAAATATAGGAGGAAGAATAAAATATACGCCACCGTATGAAATGGCAGAAGATATGAGGAAAATAGACAGAGCAAAAGATAAACGAAAGGCCCCTGAAAATCAAAATGACCTACAACAAGAGCTTGGTGAGTAAGTCTCGTAACTACTACTAATTAAATAACAAATAAAGCTAAGCTCGTCAGCGTTACTCATACAAGTATAGCACATGCGAATGGTTATAGCTAGATACAGCTACTGCATAAGCGAAAACATAAAAAGAAGAACGGTTCTTAAATAAACGCCATGTACGCCACCTCTCTCATAATGTTCCAATAATTTTTAAGTCTATTCACTACATAACACGAGCGCGTCTATTCCAAGAAAGTAACCCCCTTTTAGGAAAGGACCCCTGCACCCACAAACAAAAGTTGTTTTGAGTTATAGGAAATGTTTTGGGTACCTGTACTTTTTTATTTCAACAAAAAATCATTCGTAGGTTCAACAAAGGTTAGATAATGGTCCTTGAAAAAGTTGTGTCGATTCATGCGCAAACATCTTGTTAATAACAATAAAAAATACCATAGTACACCAACTCTCATCAATTAGTTTTTGCATGGTGTATGTTTGTTTCAGAAAGGAACAAAAAGCTGCGAGATATGGTGAATAAGGAAATGGAGCCCCATTTACATACGCCGTACGTAAGAAATTTTTTAGAGTTCTTTCATAGTGAAAAGTCTGAGGAGGGTAAACAGTAAACATTGCTTTTTTACCTTCCTCTCATTCTTATTCAGCAATAATATCACCAATCCAGTACATCCAGGAATAACCATGAAGAAACCATAAAGTAAAGGCTCCTTAAATGAGAATTTGGAAATCAGAAATGATTTTTCTCCAAAGGGTGTATCTGAAAATGAAACGGGTAGGGACAATTCTATTTCTGTACAATAGAAAAATAAATTAATTACAATATTTTCGTAAATTAATTTCAGAGTACAGACGCTCGGAGCTGCCGGTATATGCGGCATTTTTACCACACCCCTACCTTCTCTGATGGAGGAGGATGGTTGACAGGAGATTCAGGATCTGTCGAGGACTGGCAGACAACGGCATAGTTCCGGTCGGCGATACCGTGACGATAATACTGATACTGATAGTTCGGATGGACTTTAAATATTGTTTCTTTATTTGATTATTTTAAACTGTCTTTTTATGAGATTTATTTTTAAACGACTGTAGGATGAAAATATACATTTATTTAGTTTGCTTTTAACTTTTTTGAGTACAATTAGCACAAAGAGTGTCGTTTTATTTACAAATTCGTTTATAGTGTACGAAATTACAGTAATTACATTTTTCACGAGTTCCACTGCGTTAAAACACTTATGAAACTGTTTAATAGAATAAATGAAGAGATCAATGACTTATTAAGCAAAGAGATTCTGTCCTCATCGATTTTTGAAATGTTTAACATTACCGAATTTAATTTTTATTATCATCAGCTCAATTATAATTTAAGCTGAAAAAAGTAACTTAAAGGGTTTACCCGTTAATTAGAGCTTATTATCTCTTGTGATTGCTTTACAAAGGTAATATTAAAATGGTAAGTAGGAAGACGTCATCAATTGTATTGTATCGGATTTAAATATGGGTTACAAATAAAATATTTGTCTCCTATACTGTTCAAAATGACTGTCATATACTTATTTTGTACTTTCTATTGTGGCAATGTCATTTAACGTGCCAATCGTTGAATAAATTATTTGGAAACAATTTTTGGTCCAATTTTGATGAATAATGTATGAACATCATAAAGATTTCGAAGCAAGAATAATGTCAGAGGTGTTTTGACAACATTGGATTTTACTTTATATCGATGTTTAGTAATTAGGTTAGTGATAAAACATTATGAAATATACAACTGTTGGTAGTTTTGGAAACGTGTTGTTTCAAACTGGACTGCTGTACGTATTTACAGTATGCTTAGTATTAAATAATTAATAATGTAAGTACAATCGACTATATTAACACCCTAGGGAGTCAGACGTCACCTAATATTTAGCGATGTGCAAACGAATTGAGATTTATCATATGTAATTTGACGATGGTAAATACATACAATGTTTAATGTTGTATTATAAAATATGTAGTAATTTTCAGATATTTCGCTTATTGTATTGAAATGATCTGATTGAGTGGAGACTGACCTCCGTAAAACAGGTAATCGTAAAGATTGATGATCAATGTATTAGTTAAGTATATTACGCACATAAAATATTTTGTAGGTGTATTTGTATAGGTCTACAAAAGGGACTAGTTTACCTGCTCTTGTGACTTATATATATTTCGTCTAGGCGTAGAAAGGAGCATTGAGTATTGAAGGAAATAATTCCTTCAATGATATTCTTCTGATATTATTATGGGGTGCAGGACCCAAACCTGTTTGTTCGTATCCTACTCTGGGACATTTGGGATATAATTATCTCAATATTTTCTTAGTTGTTCGATGTATACCAAAAAAGAAAGAAAATTTACATTCAAATACTATTTTTATGGAATTAACTGACATGATGATAATAATTATTTACTTAAGTATAAGACACTTTTATCTTAGCAACATTCAAGTTATATCAATTTTGCAATTTAAGTAGAATTTAGTCTAGACACCCTGTGACAATGCACATGTTACAAAACTTTCGAGTAATATATTAACCATAGTTGTATAAGATTGTAATGGTCGGTTTCACTTAAGATATGTATGTGTCTATCAGAGGAAATGCACAATGAAGCTCCGATCTAATTATCTATCTGGCTCTTTGACAAAATCTTGTGAAACTGGCCCCAAATGATTTAGAAAGAATCTGTATTTGATAGTATTAAAACACAAAATAACACAATAATAATAATCGAATATTTTTGTCTCGTATACATGTCGTGTTCTAGTACCTTACTTATACTTATATCATACTTTACTGTACTGCAATGTAACATTAATATATGTGATTATGAATAAATAAATCTGAACTTCAATTTAATTGTTTGTTTGTTGAGAGTTCGTTGAACGTTTTGTTTCACGTCACTGGTTTCTTTTGGGGCCGTTGTAGTCGGCTCGTTCGTGCCAAATCTTGGCTCCCTACGACTACCCGTTGGCAGCTAGACTATGGACATCCTCCACATAAGAGAGGTACACTGGTTGGAAATAGGAGTTTCAATAAATAAAAGATCCTGGTTTATCAGAGAAACTGTTCGATGCCTGTCAAATGTACAACTAGCTATTACGATACCCACGGAAAAGTATGCGTTGGTTTCAAATATATTCATCTCTGCCATTGCCACTTGATTATGTTAATAAGCTCTCATATAATATTATTTGAGAAATAAGTAGTTCTGGCATTTTACTTTTAATACTTAATGAGGCATAGGTACAAAATTATTCAACTTCGATAAATATCCTACCCAGTCTCCTCAATCTCCAAATCCCCAAATTCTCAAATTCCCAATTACTAAAAATTCGGTAACGCACTTCTAACGCCTCTGGTACTTCAGGTGTCAATGGGCGGCGACAATTGCTTACCATCAGGTAATCTGTCTGATCGTATACTGACTTAACCCATAAATTGGGACAGGAGGACGTGGAGAATTGAGGATGTGGATTTTAAATAACGTTGAGATGATGAGGTGAATATTACTTGTAACAGAAGTTCGTAGAATTTAGACGTCTTGAGTAACACTATAGGTACTAATACTAGGGACACTGGTCCCAAGTGTCCTGTCTCCTCTTTAAGTATAATATATACTTTCTCGGTTAGCATGTGAGAGAGGGCATGTAAACAATCTTACAATTTAAGATACCAACTGTTTGTAAGTTGTACCTTATTCCCATGTAATAGAAAGCATATTAAAGTAAATGCTGACCTTCGGAGGACCCCTCGATTAACAAGGCAGTCCTTGATATAATGGACATCAATTCGCATGATTATTGTTCATTCGCCAGCTGTTTCTAACCAGACTCAGTTTAAAGTGTCCAAGAATTATTACTACTTCAATCCTTTCAATCTTGGTGCAGTACAAAAGGAATATAATAGAGGGGTCTGAATAAAGGACCATCGAATTGACCTCATCCCCTCATCATACGTTCGGGTAACATCGGCCATAGTGCTCTCTCACTCTCTCATTCCGAATATCTTTCTGGAAAGGTACAGTCAAGTGAAGAGTATCATCTGAATCAAATATTTTTAACCGACTGCAGAAAAAAGAAAGGACGTACTGAGTTTAAACTGTATGTATGATTGTGTGCAATTACCTCACGATTGGCTCAACTGATTTTAATGCGGTTTTTTAGAAAAGTGTTTGGTACATTTAGGATAATGTTTTAGTAGGTATATTTATTAACCGATTTCACAAAATATTCATAATTATCTTTTTTGAGCTAATCAGCAGATGTGTTTAAGAAGGGCATCATATACTTATCTATACATACGTAAAATAAAATTTTGTGATATATAAAGATATTTTTGAACTTCGCTATTTTTCTTTACACTTAACTAACCACCAAGTTATTAATTTATTTTTGAGTGGTTTATAAATAATGTAACGTTTCTGGGTAGCTAATAAAACAAGGAACTTTTTCTAATAGTTTGTACGCCTAGTGCAATTTAATTTCTTTGGCATAAGTCCAGATTTATATTCACACAAATTGGTGACTCAAAACAATATTTGATAAAAATTTTATTTCTGCCAGTATAATATCGCCAACCCGCATTGAGCAAGTTCAATGCGGGTTGGCAATTTCAAACTTATAATTTTATAAGTCCAGGTTTCCTCACAATGTTTTTCTTCACCGTTTGTCAGTGGTGTCTAAATAATCTTAGAAAGTACCTATAATTCGGTCACATTGGTATTTGCTATCGGTAGGTTTCGAAACCGCACCTTCATGCATAAGAAGCGGGCGTCTTAAACCTCCGGGCCGCCACGACACCCGACATTCTATAAGATCACAAAGCTTATATAATGACTAATCCAAAATATGTAGTAGTAGCCATAGTATTAGAGGAAGTTGGCATTCCAAGGATTCCCATGATCCCAACATATCTGCCTTTTGAGTTTAACTACTTAATTAAATTCCCGATTCGTCTTGCCATCGCCGTGACGACCAAGAAATCACATGGCCAATCCTTGGCAGTTTGTGGCCTCAATTTAAAAAATGAAATTTTTCTCGTGGTCAAATTGTACCCACGTGGCATGTTCACGTGTATTCTGGCTGGCCTGGTCTGACTAAAAAACAAAGAATGTCGTTCACAACAAATGGCTCGAATGATAACAGTTAATCCGAATGCATCCCATGTTACAAAACATAGTTTATTTATTTTTTCTGACACGTGTTTGAAGTACTTCAGTAAGTACGTATTCATCATAATGAAATACTAATATTTATAAATCTATCTATAATGCCAACGGACTCAGCCAACTTTGTACCGCCTCTAATTTCTTTTCTCACCTTCCTGAACTTCTACAAATAATTTAAGACCAAAATTAGCCAAATAGGTACAACCGTTTTCGAGTTCTAGCGAGACTAACGAACAGCAATTCATTTTTATACATATTTTTACTAGCTTCTGCCTGCGACTTCGTACGCGCAATCTCGAAAAAAATTTAGGTGTGGACTACCCCTAACATTTAGGGGGATGCAAAATAGATGTTGGCCGATTCTCACAGATACCGGATAAGCACAAAAATTTCATCAAAATCGGTCAAGCCGTTTCGCAGGATTACCTATGGCAACGAAAACTGTGACACGAGAATTTTATATATTAGATTTTGTTTCATTGTATTACGCTTATCAAAGAGTAAAATACTTCAGCTAAAAGATAACAGGACATTTATTAGCCGTGTCTTGAATCTCAGGTGATGTGTACAATTTTTAGATCGAGGCAGCCTTTGAAAAAACAATTGCTATTGCTGCTAGGCGGTACAAAGATCGCCGAGTCGCCTAGTATCTATATAGAAACTATAAAAAAATGAGGTAGTTAGTTAATAATAGTTCAAACATAAAATAAATGATTAGAGTAAAATTTAAAAAATCTTCCATTAGAATATGTAAAATACACAGTATTGTATAAAAACGAAAAAACTAGGGTAATTAGATATTAAATTGCAAACAGGCAATGTAAGTAAAGAGTATAGCAGCAATTAGTTGCTCCTACATGTGTAAGCGAGACGGACACGTACAGTCAGCATAAAAAGTTGATGACCACATTTAAATTTTCAAAATCGCTGGACATTAATTATATCACCCATAAATTGCTCAACAAGAAAGACGCCAGTTAAAAATAAACAACATTAAAATTCAAAATTGTCTGAACACTACTCGTCAAAGGACACTGTACACCATTTTGTCATAAATTCTGATAGTTATCTATCTTCTATCTATATATATATATAATTCAAAGGTGATTGACTGACTGACTGACTGACATAGTGATCTATCTACGCACAGCCCAAACCGCTGGACAGATTGAGCTAAAATTTGGCATACAGATAGATGTTACGACGTAGGCATCCGCTAAGAAAGGATTTTGATAATTTCCACCCCCAAGGGGGTAAAAAAGGAGATGAAAGTTTGTATGAAGCTTTGTCAGTTTTAATTCGATCGGGTTGAAATTTGGCATGCAGATAGATGTTATGACGTAGGCAACCGCTGTGAAAGGATTTTGATAATATCCATCCGCAAGTGGGTAAAATAGGGGATGAAAGTTTGTATGAGACTTTGTCAGTTTTAAACCGATCAGGTTGAAATTTGGCATGCAGATAGATGTTATGACGTAAACATCCTCTAAGAAAGGATTTTGATAATTTCCATCCGCAAGTGGGTAAAATAGGGGATGAAAGTTTGTATGAGACTTTGTCAGTTTTAAACCGATCTGGTTGAAATTCTGCGTGCCGATAGATACTTTGACGTAAACATCCTCTAAGAAAGGATTTTTATCATTTCCACCCCCCAAGGGGGTAAAATAGGGGTGAAAGTTTGTATGAAACTTTGTCAGTTTTACACCGATGGGGATGAAATTCGGCATGAAAGTAGATGTTATGACGTAGGCATCTCCAAGTAAGGATTTTGATCATTTCCACCTCCAATGGGATAATGTAGGGGATGAAAGTTTGTATGAGGCTTTGTCAGTTTTACACAGATCGGGTTGAAATTCGGCATGAAAGTAGATGTTATGACGTAGGCATCTCCAAGTAAGGATTTTGATCATTTCCACCTCCAATGGGATAATGTAGGGGATGAAAGTTTGTATGAGGCTTTGTCAGTTTTACACAGATCGGGTTGAAATTCGGCGTGCAGGTAGATATTATGACGTACACGTCCCTTTAGAAAGGTTTTTGAACATTTCCACCCCAAAGTGGGTAATATAGAGGGTGAAAGTTTGTGTGATACTTTGCCAGTTTTAAACCGATCGGGCTGAGACTTTGCATGCATAAAGTTACTATGACATAGGTATCTCCTTAGAAAGGATTTTGATGAATTCCACCCCTAAGGGGATAAAATAGGGAATGATAGTTGGTGTGAAATTGGGAATGAAAATTGAATCTAGAATCATTGAATCTTTTTGAATTACATTCGGTAAAACGATGATTTGGGACCTGAGTAACGTATGATAGTTTTTATCACAGAAGTCCCTCGGGAACGGGAACTATGCGTCAATGCTCCAGGACTCTCTATCTTTTAACCACTGAACTTATTTCATAGAGATTCTGTACAACAATAGTCGAAGTTTTTATTACTCAAAACTTACGTGATCGGGCCGGGACTGGTAAGAACCCTGCGGGATTTTTAATTTATTGAAATTACGATAAATCATTTCACAATAGGTAAATCTTAATTGGGCACTGAATTGATTCTGATGAATTCTGTCAGAAGTCATTAATCTACGCGGACGAAGTCGCGGGCAACAGCTAGTATTTTTCTAAAACACTATAACGTAGAATTTTACAAAAGTTACTAAACAGTATCATAAACACGGTGACGTCGATTCATTAATTAGGTATATCCTCTCGCGCGTTTCTCGTACACATGTAAATATTTTAATACAAAGCGCAACTTGAAAATATACGTCACAGAAAAAATAACCAATCGGTGCGCGTTTCTCGTACACCCATGTGTACAATTGCGCGACGGGCACTCAAATGTCTAGTACACCCGTGTGTACGAGATACGCGCGAGAGGATATAGATTTAGCACTACTTTAACACATTTTTTTTTTAATATTCTTCAATATGCAATGTCATTTGCAAAATGTGTGCGTTAGTATTTCTGGACACGAGTGTACGACTGTACATTCGAACCAAACGACTCGACAGCGCCCTCTGGCCGTTGTATTTGATCAAAGTTTTGTTTGTTGGTCAAAGTTGCGTTTGCTAACACAACTGCAGAGATTTTCTGTGCTGATTTTAACTGTTCACATAAAATTTCTTGTCTAATATGCCTTCAGAGTATGTTCATCGTCAAGTGTTCCGGATACATATATTCCAAGTACAAAAGCAAAGCATGACTGATGCTACGACGCAGGCCGGCAGCTGGAATCAAATCTTCAATGAGATCGGTACTGTAAATTTTACTATTTCTCTATTAAACCTTCTACTAAACATGTGTTTCTTTGTGTAAAATGCTACCGTCTACCCATACAATTGGTTTATTCCTAACTTTGTTTTGACCTTCAACTTTATGCGTAGATATCTTACTGCGTAGTTACCGCGAAATATTTAAGTTTCTTTTTCGAACATATTGACAATTATTGTTCACACAAAACTGATGTTCGGAAGCAGAATATATCACGTTTTCTCCCTTTGTCTTGTGACACCGTTTAAAATGTAAAAAGCTTGCAATTGCTGTATAATGTTATGTTATAATTATATTATAAATGAGGTTATTGCAATGCAATTGTCATTTACGCATTCCAGTATTCTTAATGTATTCCAGTAAATATGTATATTATGCAAACGCCATTTTGATTTTGGTGCGTCGCCACGTTGATAACCAATTTGCGTCGCGCAATGCAATGTATTTGATAATTGAATAATTGTTATTGGCGAATTCAGTACGAATGTTTGTAATAAATTGTTACTATAGTAGTGTTAGTCCTTTATGTTAATTTGAAATAATCTGTAGTTAATTAATGGAGAATCTTGGCTAATATTCATACATTTTATGATAGTAGTGAACGCTGAACTTTTTGATAACGATTGCTTCATGTTAGCGTGGTTTGTTATAGTTTCCCGGGAGGATGTCCGACTAAGAGTAATGCGAGAGCTGGTGAATAACCCGCAGTCTGGGGCAGCTCCCTATCTGGAGGATCTTCGGGCCGAGAATCTCAGCGCCGAAGGTAGGTGGTCGTTTGCTATTGTATTCCTTCGATAAAGATCTTGTTAGCGAAGTGTCAGTAATCAGAGATCCAAGATGGAGGTCACTGCCGCATGCCATACCTACTAATGGACTGACATGTATTTATAACCGAATGGGAATAGGCTGATGATGACGCAGATAAAAGATTTCAACCATTTTCTATCCTGTCCAAAAATATTCCTCAACGGTGCAAGGGAAAATTTTTGACAGAAATAAAAAAAAATAGGCTTAGTATGCGGGTTTGGACGAGATATTATCAGTTTTATATCATATTGTGTTAACACCATATAAGCCTCCAATGTATTGCCAAACAAAAGGAACTTTACTTATCCTCATGCAATCTTTGGATCAGACCCAAGGTCTGATGCTTCATAGTCACATATTAGTGACTATATTAACAATGTCTGAAGAAAATTAAAAATTAGTCTACTGCTGTCGATCTAATTATACTTTTTAACCAAAGGTCTGACATTAATTTAATAAAATGTGCTATTGCAGAATTTGAGCAGAGGGGCTTGGAACTGCTGGAAGAAGTGTGTAAGTATTATACTGAATATCTTATGCTCAGACCACTCCATCACCATCTTCAGAAAAGCTTATACAAATAGATATAATATCACAATAATTAATTGACAACTCACTCATAGGAGCCCATTAACAGTTTGACTGCCGACAGAAAACTGTTAAAGGTAAATCCTCCGCTACCGTGGCCCATACCTTGTCCTCCATGGCGTTCAAGGTGTTAAGTTTTAAATCAAATTTCCATAGTGTTTGTCGATTGGGCTTCTCTCAGTTGCGCAGTCTTATTTGTGCCTTTAGGCCTAAGTCATTGGGTCTCCTGCATTAAATTCACCGAAAGAAGAGGATACTGTTATTTTTCTTCGCCTCTAATATTATTGCCTGTTTTTTTTTTACATTGAATGGGTCAACGTTTGACCACTATCTCGGTGGAAAGTCATAATAGGGTCTACGATGGACCTCGTCGTCCCAAAAGCAACCTATTCACTAGGGTCTTGAAGACACCCAGGTTATACCGTTCAGGAAATACAGAATCTGGCAAAGAAATTATTTGATTAATTTCGTTGCGGTATTCACGATTATTCATATCCCTAGGACGCACCGACCTTCACTGTTCCGGTGTTTTTACGTTTGAACCTACTAAAGATCCTGGCTTCCAGGACTTGCCGCAGTTTTAAGCTGTTGTTGGTTTGAACCAAAAAAAAGAATTTTAGTATTACTAGTATATTTATGGTTGTATAGGTAATTTAAACTACATAGCTTACACGCACACATCTTATCTTTAATTTGTAATGACTAGTAATCACAGCGCCTGCTGTCCGACAAACGCTCACTTAACTAACTGATTGATTCTCATAACCATTTCATCACCTGTTCAAAGTCAAAGTCAAAGTCAAAGTCAAAATCATTTATTTCAATTAGAGCAGTAAGGCACTTTTGAACGTCAAAACAAAATATTTAAATATTAAATAATAAGAAAAAAATGTCAGTCTGTAGGTCAGTCCTCTAGTGAAGCTATTTGCTCGTTCCAAAGTGTAGATTCCTATGGAGAAGAACGACCAAGAAACTCCATAGGTTACTCTTTTTCAATCATGTTCACAATACAATTTTTGGTTACATTCTTCCGTTGAGTTCAATAATGTGAGAACAATGTAATACCAATATTTGGTCAAGGAGCGAAATTCAAATTCATAAAGCACATGGCGAGAAGTTGTAGTAGTGAGTAGTTGACATGGTAAACGGCTCAGAATACACATGGTAAATACATCAAGGTTCTCTTTTACATAATAAATTTTAATTTATAAAATTTCATTAAACCCGTTCTGCGACTTCAAGGACGATTCAACGACTGCCTCGTTGGCCGAGTGATCGCAAGTGCTACTGCCGGGCAAGGGGTCTCGGGTTCGATTCCCGGGTCGGACAAAGTATTACTGGGTTAATTATAAATTTCACTAATAGCACGGAGTCTGGAAATGTGCCCGGTATATGGCAACAGGCTCACCCCTTGTCATATGGGACTCATAACATAAATAGTGAAAAGTGGGTGTTACAATGTACAGTGGCATGAACTGCCGTAATGTGCACCTCTGCCATAATTATTATTATGTCATTCAACTATAATACTACTTACATACTCTCAAAATACAATTCATGTTAAAATCAACGAGTACAAAATATTAAGGTTTCGCTTTTTATTTGTTTTTCTATAAAAAGTTAGACAAACTGAAGGTCAATTGTTCGTATCTACATAAAAATGTATTTAGAGCTGAGTTTTCAATTGTCAGTTAAATTTTAACAGAATGATAAAATTGACATTTGACAGTTACTAGTACCAAAGTAATTCCTCAGTTAAAGGCCCTCTCCTTTAACTGAGGAATTACTTTGGTACTTCTGGGCCCAGCAGTTAACTACGTGAAATATGTCTCAAAAAAACCGGTACATTTTTCTAAACAAAATTACAAAATATGGTACCAGGATTCTACCCAGGGAGCGAGAAAACTTAAATTAAGATAATAAGACTAAATGATCGATTAAATAAGCCCTAGTAATCAATTATTAATAAATCGCTAAAATCTGAGAATATTTGGCTGATCTTTTTTTTTGTTGTGTTTGTTATTGTCAAGAGGGCTTGCTCGCTTGATTGCGCGTACGAAGTTGCGGGTAGAAGTTAGTATGTATATGAATATCAATTCATTACGGTTTCGTGAAATCGATTTAATCGATTATAGTGTATTTTTTTTCTGACAACCCTTGGGCTTGCGTTTGATTGACAATGACTGACAGATGTACTTGTTTGTTTACTTTCATTCTGAGTGCGCACGTATTTTCTTTATTTTGCATTGTTAAACCCACGACCTAGGCTTTGCATATTATAACGATGTTCGACGAATCTTGCTACTCAGAATTACCTGACTCTCTATTTCGGACAACTGTTACACCTATCGATTGGATATCGACGACATGGATCGCTGTATAAATTGTACGATTGCGATTGGTCGCAGTAATCCTATAGCGAGAAAAGTCTTGGAGAATGAGGCGATTTTAACAGTTTTTCGTCAGTGGCGAAGTGAGTGATTCAAAAGTATTTCAGAAATTACACAAAAAAATCACAATGTTATACTATAACCTAACTTTTACTATAATTCAAATAACTTGGTTTCTAGGAAGCCAAATTTCACCAAATTCTCAGTTAAGCCTCGATCCTTGATCTTCTTACATATAAAGCTAATTTCATTTAGTTAACACCTGGGTCCAGGAATCTATGGAGCCATTCCCTTCTCCTTTACCTGGCGATGGATAAATTGGCCGTAATTTGAAATACTTTGACAGGTCATAGTTCTCCTTGTTTTATTATTAACTAGCTGACCCGGCAAACTTCGTACCGCCTAAAAAATATTTTTCTCACCTTTAAAACCTTCCCTGGACTTCCACGAACATTTCAAGACCAAAAATCGGTTCAGCCGTTCTCGAGTTTTAGCGAGACTAACGAACAACAATTCATTTTTATTTATATAGATTAACAATTGTTTAATATTTCAGCGCTCTCCATTCTGACGGACCTATACGTGCAGACGATGCCGCTACAATAACCTGTTCCATACTTTTAAGGTAAATCTTTGAAAATGGTTGGTACGAGAGTAGAACAAAGAAGTATTCAAGTGAGGAATGTAAAGAATACAAGAACGTATGAGACAAGGAGAATGAATGATGATTGTCAGTACTATTAGGAACTTTGATGATTTTATTTAGTCAGCGAGTGATGAAAGTGTGCAGTGAAGTAAATAAGAAACACGGTGACAAGATATATTGAAAGTAAGGTCCACGGCGCGTCGCGTTCCGCGCGCGCCTCAAGGAGCCACCAGACCACCATAGATGGGGCCCAACAGGGCTGATGCCGATACGAAGCTGCGGAAGACTTAACGGGTTGCCGGGGCTCTGGCTCAAAGTGCAGGAGTAGGAACGGGGTGGTTTTTAGTCAGTAAGAGTCTGACACTCCCTTCTTGCCTCAACCGGGCGAGTGAAGTCCATTGGATGATTTTCCCCCCTCAAAAAAAAAGGCATTGGAATCAGTTTATACTAGGGATTCAAGCGACAATCCAAAGTTACAATGAATAAGGTCATTTACATACATATACAGGGTGTTAGATGTATCATATGACAAATTGAAATAGGCGACTAAAGGAGTCATCTCCTAGCTTTTCAGGCCCCTTAACTCGTCGAGTACCGGTTTTGTAGACACAATTATAGAACAATAGGTTGCGGTCACCGGTGACCGCTTGGTGTTTGACAGTTTAAAGATCGACAGTCCCTGTCGAACTTTTTATCGACGTTTTATTATTTTGCTGATAAAGCATCCAAATTTTACATTCAAATACAATTTTTTAAACTAAAACATAAGGTGTAGGCTCCGAATTTTTTTATCTGTATAGTTCAAGAATATTTTTAAATACAAAGTTAGTTTTATGAACTTCCTAGTATTGTTTTAAATGATTCACAAAGAAAAAATTCAAATTAAAGCTGTTACATGTTACAACTGTTCATATTGATAAAAAGAAAACCAAAAGCGACCGGAATCTTCCTACTTCCTCATTAATTCTCTATTTTCAATTGTTAATGATGTGCCATATGCCATAAAAATCGTTTGTCAACTTTGTGAATTTAATAGAATTGTGAATCAAGTCACATAAGATTACATAGCAAATTGTAATGAAAACAATTTATTTTCTCACTCTTGCGCAGTAAAATCTAGCTCCTATCTCTTTCTTGCATACCTTAAATCGAGTTTAGTTTTTAGGGAACGGAAAGTAAAGTTCCTTCGACTACGCCTGCCAGATTTTGAGACCAACTGTCTGTTCTATATACTATATCAATATGTAACACGATGCACTAACTCATAACACTCTGTATAAATATGTACATAACCTCATGCTTTTCTCCCATGGGGGTATGTAAGAATCATAGCAATTAGAGTTCTATAATTGATCAATGGATCCTCTTTATGCATATTTATAGAAGCGACACTGAGAAACGTGGCATCACTATCTCTTAACCTGTATATACATTATATGCCTTATATTATTTTGAGTGCCTCATTGGCCGAATGGTCGAAATGCGACTGCCGGGCAAGTAGCTTCGGGTTCGATTCCCGGGTCGGGCAAAGTGCCACTGGGTTTTAAAAAAATATCTCAGTAGTAGCACGGAGTCTGAGATTGTGTTCGGTATATGGCAAAAGGCTCACCCCCTATTACATGAGAATCATAACATAATAGTGAAAAGTGGGTGTTACATTGTACAGTGCATAATATGCACCTCTGTCTACCCCTTGGGAATAAAAGATGTGATGTTATGATTGATGTTTAATATAAGACGCGTTGATTGAATGACTGTAATGTAATTTTAATTAAAGGAATAATAATGTTTCACAGTTACAAATGAAAATAAACAATCTGCCTCACAGTCAAAAATATCATCTTACAGGTATGAATTTTATTAAAAATAACTAAAACTATCTATCTTTAATTTCAGGGAGCAGCTTCAGCCGCAGTACACCGCGCACTGCTCATCAATATCTCTTTTCCAGTATCGTCTATCGTATCTCCATCTTTATTTTCAATACTCGAAATATTAGTAAATTCTATCGTTATTGGTGTTCTTGTTAGGTAGTTAAATGTTAAATTTTTTACTTACTTTACTTGATATTGGGTCATCTTGCCCCATATCTGAAGATAGATCAAATTAAAAAAAAAGGTATCGAACTTAATGAAACAAGAACTGATATAGTACTCGTCCTTACAACGATTACTATTCTTATCAATCGAATTTGACTAACGTTTAATGATATATCGTCACCGTTGTGGTAATCTTAAGAATCTGGCAATTTTGTTGATTTGATATTTTTAGAAACAACTATTCCTTATTGTAACACATAAGGTACAGAATTTTGAAAATTCTATCTCTGACCGTTATCGAAATGTAATAATACATATCTGCATTATTTTGTTGTTACGCTCAAAATAAACATGGAATTGATATTAAGGGTTTAGCTGCGATTTATCATGCCCAATCTAAGACAACCATTACGGTCAACTTACGAATCTGCCATATTCGTACGTTCACATTGGTAGGATATGTTCTTTAAGATAATCAAATAACCCATAGCAATTTACAAATCGAGCAGTTTAATTGGTACTTTGTTTGTAAAAAATACAGGAAATATTCATAGTAACTTTTTAATATTCGTTGTTTTGAATTTAAGAACAATACAATATACAAATAGTTTATTGTGTCAATAAGTACACTACATGTTAACGTGTTTGGAGCCCCCATTTAAGCAAACAATGCCTGTATTAGGAGGCTCCGCTTTTTTTACATCATTGTCGTACACATAATACCAACACAGTTAATATTATAGTGTACTGAGACCTTAGGGTAAATATGCAAAAAAAATAAAAATCTTAAGAAATTTAAAATATATTAATAAAGTTGTAAAGTTGTAGTTTAATTTAATTTAATTTATTAACAACAAATCAAGTAAATCCAAACATATTCCCAGTCAATGCTTGTGCTATGTGTGGCGTGGTGAGCGGTATTGTAGGGTGTGTGATGTGTTATAGTGTGGTGTGGTGTAGTGCAGTGTGGAGTGGTGTGGTGTGGTGTAGTGTGTTAGAGATGTGATATGATGTGGTGTGTGTCGGTCTTGTGTGTGATGAAATGTATGGTGTAGCATGGTGTGTGTGGTTTTAAGTTATGTATAATGTATAATATGTTATGGCTACTCAGCGTGTTCCAGAAACGTCTCCGTTTCCTCGTAGGTAAGTGATTTAACTCGTCGAGTACCGTCATTATAGACACAATTATAGAACAATAGGTTGCGGTCACCGGTGACCGCTTGGTGTTTGACAGTTTAATCCAGTCTATTATACTTTTTTTACAGTCGTGGTAACTTTTATTATATATATAAACGTGTTTGTTAATTTTGTTATATAGTTGACTAGACCGTTTATAGAATTGTCTGTCTGCAGATCTAGTTTTAGTTTGGGGAACTTGGAGAACTAAATCTTTTCTTCTTTTAGATTTTTCTTTATCATTGTAAGATAGGGTTTTATGTGTTTTTAGAATAATATGGAGAATGTACAGTTTTCTCACAGAGAGTAAATCACTTATATGGTATAAACTTGAAGTAGGAAATCTTTTATTTTTAAAATACATCAGTTTTATTAATGCACGCTGAGCTCGTTCTAAATGTATAAATTTAGTTTTTGCAGCACCGCCCCAGCTTGGAATACAATATAATAGCACGGATTGGGCTAGTGTCACATATATTTCATTTAGGAGATTTCTGGGACGGTTCTTACAACTCTCTAATTTAGTTGGAACAATATGTCTGAGGGTTTTAAAAACCCAGCTGAGTTTCCTTATTCTCCCAGAATTTGACTGCACGGTTGGTGCGGTGGCTGGGCAACCGGCTGCCGTGCAACGTGTCGCGGGTTCGATTCCCGCACGGAACAACACTTTGTGTGATCCACAAATTGTTGTTTCGGGTCTGGGTGTCATTGTGTATGTGAACTTGTATGTTTGTAAACGCACCCACGACACAGGAGAAAATCCTAGTGGGGCAAAAAAAAAAAAAAAAAAAAAAACATATGTGTACCTTCAGATCCAACTCTTCAATAGGTTGCGTACGGTTACTGATACTAAAGCAAATGTAGTTGGTTTTATTAGTATTTAGGGAAAGTGCCAGGATGGGCCATAGAACACGATAGATGTATCATCTGCGTAGGTGAATACTTTAGCATTTTCAATTTCCATATTACAAAGATCGTTAATGTAAAGGAGAAAGAGGGTAGGTCCAAGAACGCTACCCTGTGGAACGTCGTAGGATACATCTACCCAGTCACTAGAGTACTGTCCTATTTTTACTCTTTGTTTCCTATTGGAGAGGTAGTCTTTAAGTAAGCTGAGTGCTTTGCCCCTTATTCCGGCTTGCTCTAGCTTGTTCACAAGGATTGGGACAGAGACGGTGTCGAATGCTTTTTTGAGGTCTAAGAAAACAGAAAGACATCTTTTTCCTTTATCAAGATGCTCAGCTATGAGAGAACTTAACGCAGTTACTGCATCCTCAGTACATACACCTTGCCTAAAGCCAAACTGCGAGTTAGATAATAGATTGAATTTGTTTAAATAATTTGTCAGTCTAATATTTATATTTTTTTCAAGCACTTTGGAAATTGAGGTTAAAACGGAAATAGGCCTATAGTTGCTGACATCATCGCTGTCGCCAGCCTTGTAAACTGGGGTTATAACGGTCTGCTTTAGTGGAGCCGGGAAAACACCCTCTTGGAAGCAAAGATTAGCAAGGTGGGTGATAATAGGGACAGCTTCCTTTCTTATATGTTTTAAAAATTTTGTCGAAACATTGTCCCACCCAGGGGCACTATCGGATTTCAGATTCATCAGAATACTATGCACCTCTTAATCGTCCGTATCCAGTAGTACAAAAGAATTTAGTTGTGATCTTAGTGCAATGGTAGGGTTAAGGGTGTTATTTAAATCCGAATGAATTTTTTAGCAAGTTGTTCTCTAATTTTCGCAAAATAGGTATTAACATAGTTAATAGACTCTATGGGGGTTGTTTTAATCCTAATCCTAATCCTAACTAATATTATAAATGCGAAAGTAACTCTGTCTGTCTGTCTGCTACTCTTTCACGCCAAAACTACTGAACGGATTTGAATGAAATTTGGTATACAGATATTCTAGACCCCGAGATAAAACATAGGCTACTTTTTATCGCGAAAAAGGGGTTGTAAGGGGTTAAAAGGGGGGGGGG